ATGATGTATTAAGAACTATGTAATGTTTTGAACGACCAACAATAAAAAAAAGATCAATGTTAAAAAAAATAGCACAGTATTTGCAAATCACTACGTACATCTTTCTGTATAACTTAAATCATCTCTAGATTATTTATAATGCCTAATACAATGTAAATGCTATGTAAAGAGTTGTTTAGAAAATATTAACCAGAAAAAAAGTCTGAAAAAAAAAAAACTTGAGGCAGAAATTCCCAAAGTGTGAGCCCCCAACACCTGAATAAGGATCATCTCAGAAGCTTGTTAAAATGGCCAGCTCAGAGCCCCTGGCTCAGAGAATTCAGGGGCTCCCCAGAGGTGCCTGAGGAGTTGGAAGTGCTGAGCCATAAAGAAGACTGTTCAGCACCCTGGGATGCCAGGATTTCTCATGAGATTTCTTTTGAAAGTATAGCGTTGCTGCTAAGGCAGGACTTGGAAACTGTTGCTTAATACGAATGTTCTAATGTGTAGATGAGAAAACTGAGTGAAGCTCAAAGAGGTTACTTAACTTGCTCAAAATAGCATGGCTAATTAGGGCAAAAATTGTATTTAGTGACAAAGTGCAAAAGGCTGGGGCAGGCAGGAAGCTCAGCCCATCCAGGTCTCTGCTGCTCAGGCTTGCCACCCCAGTTTTCTCACACTTTTCTTCACTGAACCATTTATACTCTGTACCCATCTATCAACCTTATTTCTGGACGCACTTCAGATAACCCATCACAGGGAGGGAGCATTTCAGCCTAACCCTCTAATTAGAAAATGTAGCAGAAAATTCCCAGGCGACACCCTGTGGATGAATAAGCCCCATTCAGAGTCAGAAGATGAAGGTGCCAGTGTGGTCATTGCTTCAAACATCTTTTTGTGTGGCCCCAGCTTGGCACAGTGTGATCAGCTTTGTCATATACAGAGAAATGGCCATATATTAGCCTTAACCTTCCTAGTTATATGCTCTGGGTAGAGAAGAGTCTCCAAGAATGATGTCAGGACAACTTCTTCCAAGTTCATTCTATAACTTCAACCTGCTTAACAAAGTAGCAGCTAAAACTGCTGAATAGTGATTTGCTTTAATGCAGAAATCAAAAGGACTAATAATTAACAAACTACTCAGTGCTCAGAATTAGACATTCTATAATGCTAAAGATTTTAAAACTGGTACTTTCCTTAGACATTTAATCAGCTAGGATCCCCCTTGTTTCTATGATTAGTAAATTCTTAGCAAGCCCTTGGTGCAGAATGGCAAGACCACTCTGAACAGTTCCTATTCAAAAGATAATCCTTACTGTAATCCAAATTGAAGAGATCATCTGGTGTAGTTTTGTGCACATCTTTGGTATGCACTAACCTTGACTTGATTTGACATGGCAAATTCAGGAAGAACATTTAGCTTTTCCCACTACACTGGCTTCATTCATTTATTCGTGCCCATTTACACTTTTTAGAAATTCAAATTCCTTACTATGACCTGCAGTTTCATTGTGTTCTGTTCTTCCAAGAAATCATTACCCCCTGCTTTGGGGACATATTCAGCTGTTGCACTTGCTGGGCTTTCTGTCAGAGACACTGCTCCTTGGTCCTTGAAATTGTGACAGTTTTCTCTCATCATGTAACTTTTTGCTCAAGAGTCAGCCTTCACAGAGCCCTTCCCCAGAGCATACTAGCTAATGCAGATCTATCCCATTATTGTTTTATTTTATTTGTAGCACTTATTAACCCCTAGTTTACTTATAGCTTCTTTATGTTATTGTTGTTTCCTCACCTCCTTAAAATTTGGCTTCTATCTTATGCACCATTACAACCTGTGCACCAAATTAGCCCCTGGTTAATGGCAGATCACTCAAAAAATTGTTGTTGAATGAATAAAATACTTATTGAGGTTAAGTGTGGTGGTATAATATTGGACAAAACATAGTCCCTGCCTTCAAGAAATTTCTATTCTAATCTCTTGAGTCTTCTGGTTTTTGACCTCAAAGTAGCTGCTACTAGAATTTTGTTTTTTACTTTGTTTTTCTCTCTCTGCCATTTCAAAAATACAATAATAAGGGCTCTTTCATATATTTTTGGGCTGTTCGTACATAGGACTTCAGTGGAATGCCCTCAATATACAGGGATCAGAGCACAGAGGATCACTTTTCTTCATCTGACTAAGGAAATATCTGGTCTCCCACAGTCCTAGATCACATGGGGGTGGGGCCTAGATGACACTTACCAAATGACCACACATCTGACTTGCTGCTATAGCGACTGAAAGAAAACACTTCTGGGGAAGCCCACTTCACCGGGAATTTGGTGCCTGTGGAACTGGTGTATTGATCATCAAGGACGAACCTAAGAAGAGCACAAAATGGAGAGATCAGAATGTTTGGGGGCCTCAGTCCCACTGCTGACATTGTGCAGGTACCATGTCCCTGTGTTACCTTGTCATCCCAAAATCGGACACCTTGATGACTTGATTTTCTCCCACCAAACAATTTCTGGCAGCCTGGAGAAAAGATGGGCCAACAAAAGAGAAAGGAGAACTGTTAGTGGCTAGTAATCCAGGAGTCTCCCATCATCAGTCTGTGCCTTTCCGTAGTATGTTGTAAGAGGGCATGGAGGAGCTCAAATGTTAATTAAGCTTCACAAGCACCTGCTGCAAGTTTGCTAGAAAGTTGATCCTTTAACAGGATGAGCAGACTTATCTTCACTTCTGGATTCTAAGAAATCCACAGTGTTGTCTAACTAAAGATAGGCTCCAACACAACCTGATACCAAACCCATGTGAAAGAAAATACTGACACCAGAGATGATATGAAGAAACTGTTTCCTATGTGCTTAGTATAAGAAGTTTTTGAGGTTGTTGATCATCTTAAAGTTATTCCTTAATAGGGAGAAACAGATGGCTGCACTGGAAGAACCCTTGGAGATTGAAGACTCCAGTGAGTCTCAAACTTGAAAGTTCCTTTCCAATCACATGGGGAAACACATAAATATTCCTGAGCCCCCAAAACCAGAGATTCTGACGGTGGCCTAGGGTTATTCTAATGTTATTCTGGTAGATGGTGGATAACACTTTAAGAAAAACCGTGCTTATCCATTTCCCTCATTTCACCAGGACAAAACTGAGGCACAGAGGATCAGAAGGAGTAGTCATTAGCTCCATTTTGAAAGGATGCAAAATGAAACTCAGAGAGCATAAACTATAGGAAGGCGGGGATTAGAGCCCACATCTGTCCTCATGAAACACTTTTCTACAGGACCAGTGGGTGGAGAAAGGAAGAAGCTGAGAGAGGAAGGGAGGTGGTCTGTGACCTGTCATTTATTAATACATTCTCAGTCTTGCTAACCCTACATTTCAATGGGATGTGCCCTTCACCCTGCACCTGCTGGTGTTGGCCATGCATGCTCTTACCAAATCTCTGTGGATGACACACTCCTTTTCCAGGTAGGCCATGCCTTCACACACATCCAGGCACATGCCAAGCAAGGTTCCTGCTGCAAAGAGTCCCCTCTGGCTGCGCAAGTAATCTGACAGGCAGCCATGCTCCATGAACTCAAACACGAGGCAGATGGGGGCCTGCTCCAGGCACACTCCATGGAGCTGGACCAGTTTGGGGTGGGAGAGTTTCCTGGAGACAAAAGGCAAGGGTAAGAGCCAAAATCCAGTCTCCCAAAGTGCCAAACCTTCTGTGCTGAATTATTACCTTGTCTGACTCTTGGTTTTGAAAACAGAATCCACACCCTCCCCCAAAAGAAATATGTCAGTGGAGCCAAGACCTGAAGGATAACATGGAGTCAGGGTATGTGTGGACATGAACAGAGGCTAGCATAACTGGCATGTTATGGAGCCGAGGGGAGATGGGGAGAGAAGATTGGGAGGTGTACAGGATCAGACCATGGCAGATCTTGGAGACCATGTGAGGAAGTTCATTTTATTTGCGGTGCACTAGGAAGCCACTGCCAGAGTTTGAGAAGGTAGGCGTTATAATGTGGTGTCAGAGGGGTTTGAAAGAACACAGCCCAGGGCACGCTTCACAGGGTGTCTGCAGGTGCTTCTTTTACCACTCACATCATGACTTCAGCCTCCTCTATGAAGTCCTCTTCTGACATCGCCCCTTCCTGAATGGTTTTGATAGCTACCTTGTCCTTGTTGAGCCAGTAGCCAAGATGCACCAACCCAAACTGTCCACTGCCGATCTCCTGCACAAAAGTGAGCTCCGAGGGATGGATTACCCATTTCCCTAGAGAGAGAGATGGGGGCGGCACTTGATTTTAGGGCAAGTAATAAGGAACAGGGCTACCAGAGAACATTAAAGTTCTACCTAGAACTTCAGTTTATGTTTAATATAACTCAAAGATGGCACATGGTGTAAATCCTAGCCTTAGAACTATTATAGCTAATTACCTTTTCCCCCAAATAGTAACATAGAATATATATTTAAAACCATTAAAAATGTATAGGTGGCAATAACATGGAAGGAAGAAGAATGGCAATAATGAAGCTATAAAGGAAAATAAATATTGCAAAGTCCCAACCATTTCCTAAAATGTTTTTCACATAGAACAAATTTCATTTGCATTTATCACTCATTATCCATTCACCCATCAAAAGCATCTGCTAAGTACACAGCACACTGCTAAGCTTTAGGCAGAATGGCAGTGAAAGAAGGGATTCAGAGGGGCCTTCTACAGAGGCACAAGCTGGCACAGTGTCTGGCACATGGCAGGCTCTCAATAAATGTTCAGTAAGCAAACAAAAGGATCGGAGCCTCAGTTTTCCTAAGGAGTAGGCTGACCAGATGATCTCTGAGATCCCAACCAGCATGGACAATTTAGGATTCTATAGTTACCAGAATAGCATGGTTTTCATAAGGAGGATAGAGAAGCATTATCCTACACCAATGTTTTTTCTAGTACCATAAACAGCCAGGTCTCCACCTCTTGGAGGCACAGACTCCACAGCAAATAGTATGAAGTATCTACTGTGAACCAGACATGGTGCTGGTTAGGAATGAAGAGTCCACGGCAGAGTTTCTCAAAGTACCCCCGGGCTCCTGTGTCAAAGTCACCTAGAACACTTTTTAAAATGCAGACCCCAGGCCCCTACTCTCAGGGAGCATGTTGTGCTAAGTGTTGCCTAGGGTTCAGGAAGTCAACATTTTTGAATAAGTGTTCCAGAAGATTTTGATGCACATTGAAGTTTGAGAACCACCAATCTAGGAGATATAAAATGAAGATTAGACCAACTGCTTCCTCAAGTAACACACAGTTTGGACCAAGAGATACACACTCAGATGCCTTCAGGTTTCAGGCAGATAATCCCAAATGGGTGAAGAAGTTACAGCGGACAGGAGGGGATCATTGTAGGGTCTGCTACATTAGAGTGCATACCCTGTTGAAAGTATAAAATTGTTTTGCATGGTGGGGGTTGTGACTCAGTGGTGGAGTGCTTGCCTAGTGAGTGTGGGGCACTGGGTTCAATCCTCAGTACCTGATAAAAAATATGTAGGGGCTGGGGTTGTGGTTCTGTGGTTAGAGTGCTTGCCTAGCATGTGTGGGACACTGGGTTCAATTCTCAGCACCAGATATAAATAAATAAATATAATAAAGGTCCATCAACTTCTAAATTTTTTTTCAAAAATTAAAAATATGTAAATAAAATACATTTAAAAATATTTTTTTAAAATTCTTTGTTTGTTTGTTTTTGGTGCTGGGATCAACTCCAGAGCCTGGTGTGTGCTACCGCCAAGCTATACTCTCAGTTCTAAAAAACTTTTAATACTGTATGCAGAAAGATCAAAGTTCTTGCAAAATAAACATTCATTGATGGACTCAGTAAAACCAAAGGATATTGATTTGATCTAGATGAATGTTCTGCCAGACAATCACTCCTCCAATACACACTGCAAAGTTCAAATTTTCATTAGTGCTGCTGTCTACACATATACAGTATAGCTGTTGGATGGTCATTTGAAGTCTGGGGTACAGTTAGGCTCATGGGAAGTCCACTTAGAATTTTCCCCAGACCTTTCAAGTTGTAGCTCAAAGGCCCAACATTCCCGATGGTGCTACTCACCATATCTCAGCCCTGCTGTGACAGGAGCTTTCTGCCTCCAGGAACAAACTGGATACCGGAGTCGGGTGACCAGGCCTAGGTTGATTGAAAAGCCAAAGGCAATGGTTAGAACTTTGCTCTAGCAATTTTCTAAGTTAAATCACAACAGAAAAAATCTGATGCAAGAGCTACTTTTATTTTAGGAAAAAAAACCCAAAAACCCAAAGTCCAGTTGCTGATATTGCATCCTGAGAAGATTCACAACAAAGTTGGGTCGGGGTGAAATTCATGATTTCCATAGTAGAAGTGCTCATGAAACGTGTGAGATGAATCAAATACTCAGCATCCTTTTAAAATTGTGTATTCAGTTATCATTTATGGCCAGCTCATCTGGCATGGAGAAACCAGGTAGCACTCTTGTCACTTCTAAGTTTGGGTCCCTCTCTGGCTCTGCCCGCTAGCACTTACCTCCTCCGTTGTGTTGGTGATAATTGATGAGGAGAGGGATGGAGTCAAACACGTACTTCTCAGCCACATAGTACCGCTTGGGGTTGTCATTTGTTTCTTTGATGTGATAATGCTTTATACAGGGGTTGTTCTCACTTTAAACAAACCAAACACAGAAGCAATGTTGAGACATCAAGTATCTACTGGCATCCCTTTCTTATTATTTTTGTTTCCTAACTTCTCACAAGGATGGCAGATACAGTGTTTCAACTTGTGTGTATCTTTGACAGATTGGTCCTGGTGCCTCCAGTGTTGTGCTAAAATGTACTCTGGGGCTGCACCTGGATCCCAATGGCAACAGCATTGGATGGATTGATTGTTTCTTTCACAGCTTCAAAGTGGAGGACTGGTGATATAGATGCCATTAGCTGACTGTCAATAGTGTCTGTTGACAAAATCTCTCTTAACTTTTGTGTGTGTGTGGCGGGGGTTACCAGGGATTGAACTCAGGGGCACTCAACCACTGAGCCACATCCCAGTCCTATTTTGTATTTTATTTAGAGACAGGGTCTCACTAAGTTGCTTAGTGCTTTACTGTTGTTGTTGAGGCTGACTTTGAACTTGACATTCTCCTGTCTCAGCCTCCCGAGCCGCTGGATTACAGTAGTGTACCACTGTGTGTGGCTCTGGCCCCTTAACTTTTATTTAACTTTGAGCAGAAGAGTTGACAGAGTAGGCCTGGCTTCCATCCTAAGAACCAAGGGCAGACTTAGCCCTTGGCAGGTGTTTGGAAATTCAGGAGGGCTCTCACCATTCTCTAACCTGCAGGGTGGCAGGCTATGACTAAAATATGTACCACAGTGTGGCTTATGCAGAATGTAAGCTCTCCTTCTGGAAGTCTGGAATTTTGGTATACGCTAGGCACAGGGTGCCTACTTAAATTGCCTCCAATAAAATCCTGGGTGCTGAATCTCTCCTGGCTCCTCTGGTGGGTCATACTTCACCGTATTGCAACAACTCCTTGCTGGAGGAACAAAGCATGTCCTGTGTGACCCCACTGGGAGAAGATCTTGGAAGCTGTGTTTGGTGTTCTCTGGACTTGGCTCTATGTGCCTCTCCCTTGTCTGACTTCGCCTTCTATCCCTCTGCTATGTTAAATCTTAATAAATGTTGTCTAGCAGCATGTGCAGTGAGTGTCTTCCTAGTGAATCAATGAACCCCAACACAGACTTGACCTCTCATTTCTGTCCAGCATATCTTATTGAGTTTCAGGCCTCTGACTTCCAATAAACATCCCTAGGACACTTGAAGATTATTTTTCTCTTAATATTTATTGCATTTTGGGTTATTGCCAAAGTGCTTAGCAATTTTCTAACTAGAAGAGGATTTGAGACCTAGATAAGCTCTTAGACATCATTTTACAAAGAAAGAGACTGGCGAGGGTGGGGGGCAGCTAAGCAGTGAGTGTCTTGCAGTCAGTTTGGCTAGAGCATGAAGGGGGCTTGCCCTGTCAGCCTTGGTTTCTTCTGTGTGAAGTGAGCTTGGAAGTTTCTGCCTTCAGGGCTTCTCAGGATTGAAATGGTCTGTCAAGTTCTTGGTACATAGTAAGGCCTCAATAAATGTGGAGAGTTTTATTAGAAGATCCAGAATTGGAATTCACATATTTTTGCTTTTCTGTTACTCTGTGTATTAAATAATATATTCATCAAATGCAAATATTTCATTTCTTTTAGAGCTCTGCTAATGGCAGAGCTAACCAGAAGAGTACCAGGGGTCCAGCCCAGGCTCTGTCCCTTTCTAACTCTCTTCAGTTCTGGTCCTGGCCCCTTTGGCCTTGGTTCTCCTAGAGAGAACAGGGGAAGCTGCACAATTTCTAGTGGACCTCTACCTGTGACTTTGCTCTATATTACCCCACACCTGAAGTGTCTCTCCCTATTCTGAAGTGTCTCTCCTATTCTGCTGAGCAGAGACAGCACCGTACCTCACAATAGCCTTGGTGAAAACAGAGAGCGTGTATGTTCCCGGAGTCCTGGAATCTCGGACCATGAAGGCTCCTTCTTTGCCCTAGAATGTGTTAAAGGATAGAAGGTCAGTGATCTCTGGAAGCCAGGCTCAGCCATGCAGCTCCACTTTCTTGATTATGGAAGGAGGAAGAACTATTCAGAACAGAGCAGACTTTCAGTAACAATGGCTACTATTTCTTGACCCTCCATAAATCAAAGACTACACTAGGACTGACATTAGTGGTGAATAAAACAGACACAAGCTCTGCCTTCTGAGGGCTCACTACCTACCAGACTCGCAGGTAATTTCCAACCCTCACCACAACACTGCAGTCTAGACATTATTATCTTCTAGTCCCAAGGAGGACATCAAGTGCCAGAAAGCTGAGTTGGCTTTCCCATGACCCACAACTAGTAAGTGTCAAAGTTATTTATTCATTCATTCATTTATTTTGGGTACAAGGGATTGTGGCTCAGTGGTTAAGCACCCAGGGGTGCTTAAGCACTGAGCCACATTCTCAGGCCTTTTTAAAAAAAATGTTTTGAGACAGGGTCTTGCTAAGTTGCTTAGGGCTTCACTAAATTTCCGAGGCTGGTTTTGAACTTGTGATCCTCCTTTGTCAGCCTCCCAAGCCTCTGGGATTATAGGCATGTACCACCATCCAGCTAAAGAGTTGGGATTTAAATTGTGGTACATTAGCCTGTTCTACTGCTCCATAAGGCCTCCATCAAATGGATGTTTGGTGCCACTTCCTCAGTCCTTCATAAGGGCATAAAACTACCTCTCCTGGAAGCTCCATCAGTTCCTTAATGGGAATATATTTCCCAGACCAATTTCAGTGTGCTGATTTTGCTGAAGGGCAGAAAGAACTTTAAATTCTTGGCTTCATGAGAGAGGTGGGGAGAAGGGAGTGCCTGAGAATAAGCCTTTCATCACTCTGACAATTTTGCTAGCAGTAATAAAATTAAGCACAAGCAAATGGATATGCCAGTGTATTCATTGCTGGTTGGGATTTTAAAATCTGAATATTCATTGCAGGTTGGGATTTTAAAATCTGAATTCCATTTTAAGTACTTCATACCTAACATTATGCTCCTACCCAGCTATAACTCTGCATTGGTAACATTTGCAAAGCCTATTATGACTCACTTAGATATGATGAGGGTTGTGAGAGAAGGTTAGAGTTATACTAAGGCCTGGTGCAAACAGCATATCATGTAGTACACAGAGTAAAGAAGACACAACACAAACCAACACAAACTCCTCCATCTTCTAGTCTCAAGGTGCATGCACAAACGCTTGAGAACCACTGACCTAATTCAGCTCCCTAAACCATGTGTCCCAAACTTTGTTCATTATTACAACCAGCTGAAGAACCTAAAGTACAGAGGAGCAACATAACATAACAGCAAATAGTTGAGCAGCTCCCTGCCTACACCTATGCGCCCAGACCTCCAACATGCTCACCTTGGCCCCTAAACTTTTAAAATTCTTATATTTTGCAGTGTAACTTTATATGACTGTGGGGTTTGGTGCTTACTGACTTCACTGAACAACCACACTCTCTTTATACCAGCCACACCAGCTGTCCCTGTCTCCCAAAATGGTGCTGATAGTTACAAAGTTTGTCCTCATGCTTGCACATGCTTACCCTGCTTTCAGTAACTTGACTGGAACCCTGCAGGAGGACAGGGGTGGGGTGGGGGACAATTGGCCCTTGTTTCATTGTATATTCATGTCAAACCTATAGATTCCCACATGAACTCTGGGTATGAGTTCTGGGTATGACTCAAAGTCAGAATTCTGAAGCTCCCAAGCTCCTCTGCTGAAGTCTCTCAGGAGTCTATTTTGGAATGGGAAGCTCAGACTTGATCTCTGCTTTTCATTTGTAGCTTCCTTTTCCAAGGCAGTGAGCTTGGGCTGCTCTCACTGCTGCCTGAAAGCAGGGGAAGAATTGAGGGAAATAAGAAAGTTATTACCTTTCTTTTTCCTAAGGTAATCTAATATTTTGTCTCTCTCACACATTGAGTTTATTTTAATTATTATTTTTTAATGTTCATTTATTTTAATAAGGATTTATTAAGTGATGGGAAAGACTTCTAGAGACAATAAGGTACACATCTAACAAACTTAAAATCTAGTAGATGAAAATCTTTTAAATGAAAATACATTAACCTGTTAAAACAAATTGTGAGAGTTTAAATAAGGAAGAAATTACAGGGCAGGTGGAAAAGTATTTGTTGACTAAATTAATTACAATACAATGAAAATTAAGGACTAAGGTTTGTGTATTATTCTGCATGTCAGTTTTTTTTTAATTCAAAAGAATGAGTTATAAACCTTTGGAAAACACTAATGCCATCCTGCTTATATCATCAGCCTCCTTTGTGGAAAAATTCTCTATGATGTGCTCTGTGCCAGCCCTGGGGCATGATAAGAGGAGTCCTAACCAAATTCTTATATTTTTATATAAGAATAATATAATTCTTATATTTTTATATATTTATTTTTCTCTCACATAGGAATGTAGAATGTAAATTGTTTATCCAATGAATTGTTAAAGATTCTTTTAACTTATGCTTTAAAATCATACTTTTAAAAATTTAAAAGTATGATTTTTCAAAGATTTTTATCCCTTTGAGGTCAATAGTTTTGTTCAGTTTCTGAAGTACTGGGATATCAAAATCTCCAGTTTAGTTCATTTTTTTTTCAAAAAATATCTTCTGAGGCATAAATTACATGCCACAACATTCATGCCACAAATGCATGCCATTTTAAGTGTATAAATGGTTTTTAGTAAATTTACAGAGTTGTGCAACCATCCCTATAATCTAAGGTTAGACCGCTTTTATCATTCCAAAGAAATCTTGGTCCCATCTGCATGTCTTCCACAAAGTCTAAATTCTGACTATAGATTTGTCTATTCAAGACATTTTGTATAAATGGAATCATATAATATGTGGTCTTGTGTGGGCTTCTTTCACTTAGCGTGTTGTTTTTAGGGTTTATCTAAGTAGTAGCAGACAATGGTAGGTCACTTCTTCTTCTGACTAAATAATATCCTGTTGTATGGATATACCACATTTGTTTATCCATTCATCAGTTGATAGGCATTGACTGCTGTGAATAGAGAATTTGTCTAAATTTTTTTGCTCCACTTTGTTTTGGGGTATTATCCATGTCTTGCAGGTAGCTAAAGCTTGTGTACAATTTTTTCTCTTTTGAAAATAGCTTTTGCTCTTGACTTATTATATAATGCAATAGGTTAAACTCAAGACAGAAAAAATCATACTCTGAGCAGAAGCAGACTGCAACTGAATTGCAACTTTTTCTAAAGTTGCATAGACTAAAAAGACCAGACATTTCTCAAGTATATGTGAACATAGGTTATGTGAACATCTCTCCCATCTAATTAAGAATGMGTTTTTATTGTTGTCATTATTCTTCCAAAAAAGCCAGTGGTTTTTTTTTTTGTTGAGAAAAAATTGTAATTGCATTAGAACTCAGCTGTTAAGAGGAAATGTTTCATAGGCCCTGGAAAAAGGAGAGGTAATGTTTGCAGTCAGCTCTGCTGAGCATAGAAGGTTCATCTTCTTTGAAACATATTTTTCTTCCCCATTAGCTGTGGGTGGCATTCAGTGACAGTGACAAGGAGTCTGGATTGGGGCTGAGGCAGTCAAGAGATGCAAGGAATGAGAGGTCCCCAGCCTGTGCTTTACCAGGTATTTTTTGCAGGGAGCTCAGAGGTGGTTACAGCCACCAAGAACATTGGATCACTTCTATCTCAGCTTTGCAAGGTGGCATTGGCTTATGCAATGCTGCCAGACTGGGGTTTCTCACTCCCCTGAAGAATACCGAAGGTCTCAGTTTACTTTCTACTACTTTATTGAAGAAAATTAAAAGGTCAAAATAGAAAAATATTACATGGAGATGAAATATTTATGTGACCCTGGTGTGATGGGAAAATAGAAAGTAGCTCATATATTCTCTTATTAACTCAGTGTGTATGTGTGTGTGGGGGGGTGAAAGACAGAGAGAAAGAAACAAAGCATCCCTGTTTAGTCCAACATGTCACTAAACTCAGTTTATCTGCATTTTATACAAAGAAAACAGGCAGATACTTTTTTGTGTGTGTGTGGGGTGGGTACCAGGGATTGAACTCAGGGGCACTTGACCACTGAGCCACATCCCCAGTCCTATTTTGTATTTTACTAGAGACAGGGTCTCACTGCGTTGTTTAGTGCCTTGCCATTGCTGAAGCTGGCTTTGAACTCACAGTCCTCTTGTCTCAGCCTCCTAAGCCACTGAAATTACAGGCATGCACCACTGCACCCAGCTGTGACACATACTCTTTAAGAGGAATTCTAACAGTCTATAAAATTGTGAATTCCAGATCTTTCCTGATTAAGTGTGTGAGAGTCAATTTCCTCATCTATAAAATGGTTTTTGCAAAGCTGCCAGAAGAATTAAGTATATAGAATATAATCATATTCCTGCAATAGGATCCCAGAATCAGGCCTATTAGGGTTCTTATTGGCCATTATTATTACTTGCTATGGTGTATCCTCTGTTGGAAGCTTGAATTCCATTGTCTGTCTTTATCTGAGACATGCTGACTGTGTTAGGAGTATTTTTCTTTTTATCTGTGCAATTTTAAGGGGACCTTATAGCAAATAAGGTCAGCACAATGGTAAGAAATTGTCAAAAGACAGACTGATGATTCATGGCCTTGTCACATTGCATTAACTTTAAGAGTGTCTCTGATATGTAGCTAGTTTTAATTTATTCTATTAAATACTCCTGTTATTAAGTCAATATTCTATCTTTGATGCATCTTAGACTCATGCAAATATGATAAACTGAGGCCTTAGACAGAGCTCCTGTCTGAATTTGGGGACATCCAATGTGTGAGATCTCTCTGCAAGGTGTACTAAGTGAGTTACGGGGCACCTGCTTGCAAGGAAGGACGCACCCTCTACCTACCTAGATTTGTTGAAACAGAAGAGAACTGCTGAGCTCTAAGGCAGAGTGAGAACAGAGCCACTGGAGAAGTAAGAACAGTGTGTCATGAGGTTAGAAGGTGAGAGAAACCACATCCAATGCATAGGGAAAGAGAAGCCTAAGAGGCTTCTTGGAGAGGCAACATTTGAAGAAATGACAGGACACTGAGGAGATACTTTTTAGTGGTTCTCAAATATGGTTAAGTCCCAGAATCACCTGGGTATCACCTCTAGAGGTTCTGACTAGTTAGGCCTAGAGTCCTGGAGTCCAGAAGTTTGGGTTTTTAAAAAATTTTCCCAGTGATGCTCATGATCAGCCAGGTTCTCAAGTTTATTAAGCATTTGATATATTCATTTATGCATCCAACAAAATTTATTGAGAAGCTACTTTGTGAAAGATAAAGTTTTGGATACCACAATGCAGAAGGAACATGATAAAGGATTTATACTTCAGTGTAGAAAACTGTATGGGGCTATACACTAGAAGCTTTAGCTAATAAAAACCGAAATGAAACAATTCATATCTTGAGAGCCCTAACTTGTTAGCTAAGAAGACTCTAAGTACATCTATAAAACAATATGGCTATTGTTTCAAACAGCAGAGAAGAAATGCAAAATATGGCAAGAAATTTTCATTCAATTCTAGTTGTTCAGAATCTGGACTAAATCTGATAGGACTCACTACAATTTACCCTCAGACTTATCAAAGGAGGAGAAGAGAATTTGGCAAAGGAGTTCAAAATACTAGTAAGGAGGAATTTTTTTTAAGTACTTGAGCAAGAAAAATGGATTAAGTGCCTCAAAAGGACTGCTATAAAACAGAAATCATCTTTAGCTAGTCATTGTTCTGAGCTGTTTGAAGTGCTGTGTAGACTTCATTAACCAATGTGTGGTTGAAAATAATAAAACTGCCCTTGTTTAAAACTGCCCTTGTTTACCTCAGGCTTTTAATTAATTATGCCATCTCTTAATTAGTTCTGATTAGCCAGGTTTTAATATGTTTTTCAATAACACAGGTTGGCAGGTGGGTCCAGATGCTGAGCAGCTACAAAAGCATTGTGAATTTGGCTTGAAATAAAATATAGATTCCTAGGACCTAATTTTGAAGATTCTGATTCTGCAGATCTAGAATGGGAATGAGACCTGGAGAATCTTCTTCTTCTTCTTTTTTTTTTTTTTTTTTTAAAAAAAAAACATCTACAGTAATTCTAGCATGTTTTCCATAGGGAACCACAGAAACTGATTAAGTGCTGAATTGACATAGAACCAAAGAGTAACCAAATTTGATAAGGACTCAACTAAATTCTTCTTTCTCCACAAAATTCTTCCCAATTCCTGCAGCGTTTACTTGTTTACCTTAGACCATCCTCTGAGTCTTTCTTCAGAACTTGTCTTGTTTCCCCTTGAGCCCCAAAGCCAGGTGCTGTGGTCAACAGTGTCCACAAAACCAGGAGCAGAGGGGCAGCAGGAGTACGGGGTAACTGATTTAGTGCACTGTTTCCTTGTACTCGTTAAGGCTCAGGGTCACACACTGAATTGTGACAGAACATGGGCCCAAATCCAGTACTTGTTTCTCCATACTATGCTTCATTTTATCTCATCCCTCTTTCCTATAGTTGCTAGTTCTGCAAATCCTCAGAACATTTGTTACCAGATATGAAAGCCATTGCTAATCTGACATGTCAATCCACTGCCTTGGTGTCAACCACTGCATGGCTGGAAAAACGGTGTAATTTATTTTATTTTAAGTCAACAGACAGATGAAGGAGACTTACTGTGTCCAAAAGAAGTTTTTCAGCTTTGTCTCGGCTGATGCTCTTGTTATACCACCTGAATGAAGCAAAGGTGCTGTGTCAATAACATTTAAAATTGTTTCATTATTTATTTATAAAAGATAATGCTAGATGACTGCATGACTGATTGACTCTACAACATGTACAATCAGAAAAATAAGAAATTATACCCTATGTATGATATATCGAAGTACACAACTGCATTTTACTGTCATGTATAACTAATTAGAGCAAATAAAAAATTAAAATTTAAAAAAATAATGCTAGAAAATCACATGTATATATGATTTTTTCTACTAGTGTTTTCAAACTCAGAGGCAAAGTCATGATCCATTTCCAAGTAGTAAATGTTTATTTGGTGAGGAAAAAATAAAACAGAATTGGTAAAATATTGATCGTTGTTGAAACTGGATTTCAGAGCATTCATTATATTATTTTCTCTACTTTGGTAAATGTCATAAATTTTCCATAATAAAGCTTTAGAAAACATTTTTCTTCCTCTCCATTTCATAAGTCAGTGGGTGGTAGGAGTAGGAGGGTGTTAGGGTAGCTATAAAAAGCTAATACCAATTTGAGAAGTTAGCAAATATCCTTCTAAAACAACTGCCACATTTTCCTCTTTAAGATAGGTCTTCCAGATCTTTTGTAAAATAATTGAATTATTTTTATAATTTTGGTATCTGATTAAGAAAACAAATAAAAAGTGGTGAAGAAAAATATGTATAATTTTTAGGGAATAAATTTTTGAATGTTATTATAATTTTGAGTCATGTCCTGACCTTCCCCGCCACTTATTTGGTAGGAGTAAAATGATCTTCATTTGACAATTAATCCAGAGAACAGAAATTCTAGGTGTGGAAGGAATAAACTTGCTTGGCTACAAGAATAACAATGGATAAGAGAATTGGTAGATTGATTTGAGTCTTGTAAACATGGTGGAATGAGCTTTATACCTCCATAAGCTTTTATGCTTATTTCATGTGTATACATCAAGCAATTAGAAGTGGCTGCCTAGAGCTGTGCATTGTAAGGTTTGAAGTCAGCCTGGGCACAGGGGTGAATAGGATCATTATCAAAGAGTGAGGTCTACTTGAATTCAGTTCAGAGGGAGGGAACATCAAGCAAGAGTGTCACAATTTGCCTCATTCATCTTGTCTGACCCTTCATTTTGCAGAGAAGAGATCTGAGCTCCAACAAGGTGAGGTACAGTAGTGCCTCATTTGTACTTTGCCCTTCTGTGATTTCACTTACCCATGGTCAACTGTAGTCCAAATATATTAAATGGAAAATTCCAGAAATAACTCAAGTTTTAAATTGTGTGCTTTTTCTGAGTAGAATAATGAAATTTCATATTTACTATTCAATCTCATCCAGGAGGTGAATTTTCTCTTTGCCCAGAGTATCCACACTGTATACACTACCCACTACTAAATGACTAGCTGTCTGGATTATCAGATAAACTGCTACAGTATCTTAAGTGTTTCATGTTCAAGTAACCTTTATTTTACTTAATGATAGCTGCAAAGTGCAAGAGTAGTTATTGGGGCTGGGGTTATAGGGCACTTGCCTAGCATGTGTGAGGCACTGGGTTCAATTCTCATCACCACATTTAAATAAATAAATACAATAAAGGCCCATTGACAGCTAAAAAAAAGAGTAGTTATTATACCAATTTTATTATAGTACTTTGTTATAATCATTCTAGTCAGTTACTATTCTATCAGTTACTATTAGTAACTTCTTACTGTATCTAATTTATAAAGTAAACTTTATCATAGGCCTGATTATGTGGGAAAATATATCTAGAGTTCAGTACAACCAATGGTTTTAGGCATCCACTGGGGGTCACGAAACATATCCCCTAAGRATAATGGGTATGACAGAAATTTGTTCAAGGTCATATCTCCAAATCAAGGTACAATCAATATGCCAATTTATGATTATGGTACCATGTGGTACATGTTTGTCTTAAGCAGAGCTTACCTGACAACATTAAGTTCAAGGATAAAATATCATCACACTGAATATCTTTTATATATCTAGATGAATGTTAAATATCTGGATGGTTAGTTATAAGTCTTTTTATTTTCTATATGAGATTTTATAACCTAAAAATTGCAAGCTGATAGTCTATAGCATACGTAGGGCCAGTGGACTGTTTTGTTTGTATGGTGTGGCATTTTATTTTGAAAACTATTAAAAATTCTTTAGGTGAAAGAGTACACTTTTTTATTTGGCCAATTTCCACTATTCCTTACTAATTTATATTCTGTTGAAATTTTTAGTTTCTTTTCTCAATCTACACAAAGAGATTCTGATTAAACACACAAATGAAACCATTCAGCTTAGTGGTCATTTTAAATAAATGCCTATTATTTTTCTCCAAAGACATTGACTATAAAAATAATTATTTTCTATTTAAACATATCTCATATATGTTTCATTTAAACTTGAGTATTCTTGTAACTAATGAATCTTGCAAGTACTTGATCAAACCAAATCCCAGGTTGAAAGATTCTTAAGAAAATGATGACTCTTCACTACAGAATCTATTAGAATTTCAGCAACAAATAACATGACCCCATTTGAGCTAACAAGGATCACACTGAGTTAACAGGAGTCTTTTTTAAAAAATAATTTTAATTATGCATGGACACAATATCTTTATTTTGTTTATTTATTTTTATGTAGTGCTGAGGATCGAACCCAGTGCCTCACATGTGTGAGGCAAGCACTCTGCCACTAAGCCACAACCCCAGCCCAACAAGTCTTCATTAGCTCATATTCTTCAGTTCTGGCACCTTATATTTAGTGAGTATTTAATTTTTAAAAAAGTTTTAAGTAATTATAAACTTACAGAAAAGTTGAAAGACACTATAAAAGAACTACTATATACACTGCACCCAGATAAACAAGTGGCTGAAATTTCATACATTTGCCTTTCCATTCTGTCTGGATATACATATGGATAGTCATTTCTTTTTTTCCTGAACCATTTGAGAGTGGATATTTACTCCTAAGTACTTCAGTGTCTATTTTCTAAAACATAACATGCACTTACATGGCCAAAGTATAAATTACAAAAATATTGCAATTTAACATCTGCCTAATTGCAGAACCTACCAAAATTTCATTTGTCAACAGAAAAATTTTATGGTTGACCATCCAATGCAGGATGGGGGCAATTAGTTACTATGTCTCTTCATTCAACAATTTCCAAAGAGCACCAGTGATTTATTTTACAGAATATTCCTTAATTTATCTAATATTTTCTCATGACTGAACTCAAGTTGTGCATTTTCTGGGTGAGGAATATCACAGAAGTGATGTTGCACTGGATATTATTCTCAGTATATTACACAGGGAGATACATGATGTCTTTTATCCCACATTGATATAAATTTTGATTACTTAGATAAAATGAAGCCTATCAGTTTTCTTCATTTTGTAGTTAAAAGCTATTTATAAGGAGATACTTTGAGACTATGTAAATATATTGTACCTCATCAATTTAGTTCTGACATTTGTTAATTTTTGCCTGAATAAGTTGATACCTTGTTATTTAAACTTTATCATTCCTTCTACGTTCTTTAATTGGCCCTGAACTATGAAAAAGAGTCTTCTCTTATTTATTTATTTACTTACTTACCTATCAATCTAACTATATAGTATACATTCTTATTTGATTCAATAAATTATAGTCCTTTACTGTCATTATTTATTCTGATACTTAAATTGTCCCAGTTTAGGCCAAAGGGAGACTTTTAAAGGTGACTTACCTGTCCTTTTGACATGTTCAATTGTGTACTTTTCTATTTTCTGGATCAAAAAAATATTCCTGTTCTTTCCCTGCCCCAACCCTGAAATCCTGAAGCCATTTCTTTAAGAAATTCTGGTTCTTTTCAGTGGGGAGTATTATTTAAGAATCAAGACCTAGTGGTAGGTGTACATGTTGCTACTGCGATGTCTTGGCTTCTGGACCTTTCAGGCACTGAGCTAGGGCATTTATGTACATGGTGAGTACTTTGCATATTATGATCAAATTTTGTTAAACATTCAGCAGTTTAATTAAAATTACATCCACATGGACTTTCTTCTAAATGATGGTTTGGCAAAAACTTTACACAATCTGAACAGATATTTAATATCTATTTGTTATCCTGGTATTGGAAGCATTGCATTAAACCTTATTTTATGTCCATATCTGATCTAGTGTTGAAAGTATTTTTTTTTCTTTTCAAGTAAGATCAATATTCTTGGGATTCTAAATAGAAACTTTTATTTTTACCACAATCTTCTCAGGCACCTGAGAATCACCCTTTTGATAAAAGGAGAGGGCAGCATATGGACTACCATCCTTTCTTATTTAGGGGACCTTTATCATCCAGCAGGTCAGAGAATGGAAAGAAGACAGTAGGCCAAGAAAAGAAACCATCAATCAATATTTTACTCTTAACCTAAGAAGAATTCCTTAGTACCATATTTTTCAAAAACAAATAAAATATCTTACTCATAGGTTTCCAGGTTATTAGGAGATTTTTCCACCAGATAACTGCTTGGTACATATCCTTCATGCCTGTTAAAAAGGAAATTAGTGTTTAGACTGATACAGAACTTTTATATCTTAATTTTATAAGTTGAAGTCTCACATAATTTGGTGTTTGTGATATTTTAAAGATTCCAAATAAATGTTAAAAGTAACAATTACTTGTTAGTTGTTAAAAGCAATTGATTTCACTGCTAAAATATAAAATATAATAAATAACAAGAGGCTATTTTACTTTAAAAGCTTTGCTTGCTGCTGTCCTCATTGCAAAATTTCCTCTACTGGAAAAAAAGATTAATGTTCAGTCTCTATTTTCTATAATGAAGCATTTTTTTGTGTGTGTAATATCAGCATTTTTTCCACTTTAGTGCTATCATTTAATAGTCAGGAAACCAACATAATTAAAAATTTTAAAAATGACTTTCCAACCACAGGTTCTGAAAGATACTTCCAGTTGTATCACATGCTTTTAAATTCAAGGCCTCCCTAGTTGAGTTCCTTCAGATTCATAAACATGAGAAATAGAATAAGGTCAGGCTGGATTTGGGGGTGGGGAGTCACTTTTGAGTAGAAATATGTGCAGTTTGATAAAAACATAATAAAAATAATTATACATATAGTCATATATATATGTATGTATATATGTATACCATATATATACCATATATATATTACACTTGTAAAGAGTTCTATAGTTTTCAAAATACTTTCCTATCCATGATTTCATTTAAAACCAGAAGGTTAGAACAGAACCCCTGTCATTCTCTGGTTTCTGACTTATAAAATGAGATGCCTGAACTAGATTATACATATAGAGTCCTTTCACACTTTGCCAATGTATAAAAAGATATCTGATATTTTCTTTCTTCTTGCCCCATAAAGTGTTTTAATTGTTATATATAAAGCCAATTTTCAATCTAGTGATTATGTTTCATGGAGAATGTGTAATCTATATTACAGAGTTATTTTGAAGAGTGGTGAAAACAGGAATACAGATGCCAAATACAGAATGATTATCTTACTTCTTAGTAAGAGATTGCTAAATAACCATGGTACACTTTCTCTGGAGAATTGACATTTGGCCTCAGGATCATCCTTAATATAGTGCTCTTGGCAGCCATTGCCAAATGATGGAAGCCATCTTGTTCTGAAATTTGTCATTTCTTCTCTCCTCTCTCTCTCTCTCTCTCTCTCTCTTTTATTGGTTCTTTTACTTATACATGAAATTAGAATTAATTTTGACAAAATTATACAAGCATGGAATATATTGTATTCTAATTAGGCACCCATCGTTGTGGAAGTACACAATGGTGGGATTCACTTAGGTATTTTCATATAAGTACATAAAAAATTATATCAGATTAATTCCACTGTCTTTCTTATTCCTATCCCCCACTCTTCCCTTCATTCCTCTTTGTCTAGTCTACTGAACTCCCCCCACATTATGGTTTGGCTCCCACATATTACTGAAAACATTTGACCTTTTTTTGTTGTTGTTATTGTTTTGTTTTGTTTTGTTTTGGATTGTCTGATTTCACTTAGCATGATTGTCTCCAGATTCATCCATGTATTGGCAGATGTCATAAAGTCATTCTTCTTTATGGCTGATTAGTATTCCATTGTGTATATATCCACAATTTCTTTATCCATTCATCTGTTAAAGGGCACATAGGTTGCCTCCATAGCTTAGCTATTGTGAATTGTGCTGCTATAAACATTGATGTGGCTGTGTCACTGTAGTATGGTGACTTTCAGTCTTTTGGATGTATGCTGAGGAGTGGGATAACTGGATCAAATGGTGGTTCCACTCCTATTTTTTTGAGTAATCTACATATTGTTTTCCGGAATTTTTCCTGTTTCTTGCCACATCGTATATTTACAATTATATTATCAGAATAAATAATATATTTGCTGTTGAATAGAATAAATGTATTTTAATAGCCAACTAAAACTGGGTTATGTACTCAAATGATATTCATTCTTATCACTTTTATGTGGATATATAGAACTTACAAAGCTCTTTTGCTTTCCATAATCTCATTGATTTTTCTCAGCACTGTGAGAAAAAAAGCTGATATTATCATCTGCATTTTGCAGATAAAGAAATGGATTCACAGAGCAAGTGATCTGATTATAGTCACACATGACAAGAGTGTCTGATACTGAAGTCCAAGTCCTCTCTCTTCCATCTCATGTACTTTCCACTGTGCCACACTATACAGGAAGTCCTTTATAATGCCCTTGAAGTGCAGAGCTGAGCCTTCCCACAGGCCACTGAACAAAGAGTAAATTGTCATTTGAGAAAGGAAGACCTAGAAGAAAAAATTCCCTAACACATTTGATATGATAAATAATGTCCATTGATTGAACTGATGAATTTCTGAGTAAATTCATTTGTTTGTAATTACAGGGATTTTATCTGCTTCTCCCCAGAACTGGCAAAGAGAAGATGAAGGGAGAAAGCCATGAGTCAGCTAGAAAGGGCAGCTCCAGATGAGAGGCTTTGGGATCTGTTCTTAAACTACCTGCCTCTCAAACCACAGTCGTCAATGTGATCACATCTTGCCTATCTTCTTCTGCCTCCAGCTTCCCCTACAGTGGGGTTGATAAGGATCCCTAAAGGGAGGACACCTGGAGAATGTAAATTTATGTGGATGCTAAGTCATGCCTTAATCTTAAATGCATTCGTGTCCCTCTATTTTTACCCATCAGATTGGCTTTTCTTCCTTCCTTCCTCGGTATTTATTTTTATTTTTTGAAAGTTTAAAGTGTTGGGACTTCCTCTTGGAAGAGTATGAATTTGGCAAGCTTTTTCAGGATATTACCTATCAAAATTAAGATATCACATACTCTGACCCAGAACTGTTAGAAATGTGATATGTATGTATTTACACACATACACATAAACACACACACACACACACACACACACACACACACACTCTGGAAAGACTGCCAAGATGCTAACATACATGAACAAAGCAAAATCTTCATTATAGCCTTGTTTGAAATAACAAAGAAAAGAAATAACCTGGAAACTAAGTGTTCATTACAAAATTATTATAATTAAAACAATTTCTTAGTTGTTGATGGATGGACCTTTATTTTATTCATTTATTTATATGTATTGCTGAGAATTGAACCCAGTGCCTCACACATGTGAGCAAGCACTCTATCACTGAGCCAATTATTATAATTATCATACATTCTAATGCTGTACAATTGTGTTAAAAGAGGTAGATTAGCATATGGTGATATGAAAAGATGTCTGAGATACATCACGAAAGTTTAAAAGAAAGGTAAAGGACAGAAAGAATCATCTTAAGGCAAGTGAACAAAGGATGAATTTGTATCTGTGTAACTTTCTTGTCCAACACACACAAGAAAGTATTAATAGTGATTACGTTTGTAATTGATAGGGAGGGAAAATAGAGGAGAGCTTATTTTTCATGCACATTTCTTTCTATTTAGTTTATTATTTATTTATTTGCAGTGCTAGAGATCAAATTCCAGGCCTAGCACATGCTAGGTAATGGCTCTGTCACTAAACTACACCCTACTTTTTTCCTTTTAGCTCCCCAAATCTCCTTGGTTTTTTTTTTTTTGTTATTGTTTTTAAATAAAATATTGGCATAGACTATCCAGATGTTGCAATGCTGGAATGTTCTTTTTCATGTTTTTAAACTAATAATAACCTCATACTTGAAACATTTAAACCCCTAATATGAACATGTAAGAATGTTAACACAAGCCAGCTGTGGTGGTGCACACCTGTAATCCCTGTGGCTACAGAGGCTGAGACAAGAGAATCACAAGTTCTAAGTTAACCTCAGCAACATAGCAAAGGGCCTAGGTAATTTAGTGAGTCCCAGTCTCAAAATACAAAATAATAAGGGCTGGGGATGTGGCTCCATGGTTAAGCACCTCTGGGTTCAATCCCTCCTGGTGCCAAAAAAATAAAAAATAAAATAAAATAAAAATATGGGGTTGGGGCTGTGGCTCGGTAGTAGAGCACTTGCCTACATGTAGAAGGTACAGACTGTGTTCGATCCTTAGCACCACATAAAAATAAACAAATAAAATAAAGGTACTTTGTCCATCTACAACTATATTTTTTTAAATGTTAATACAATGTTTTTATTTGCAAAATGTTGAAAATAACCCAAATGTCTAGTAATTTGCTAAATTAGGATATATTTATGTAATTAACCTATGCAATTATTCAAATCATATTCTGAAGAATATTCCAGGGGTTGGCTAAATACCTCAGATACATTAAAAGGAAAAAAATAAAGCCATATAAAGCAGTGTGGATCTCATGCATTTAAATTAAGCAGTAATAACTAGGTCAATACATCCCAGAGCATTCTGAAGGCTAATAATAATAATTTGATACTTCAGATTAGTGAAGGGCTATGAGACATTTTCCATTTAAAAATCCTCTGGTGAGCAATCATTTATTCATCCAACTTTATTTTCTGTACCCATAATGGATTGAATAGTTCAATGGCTGTGGTCACAACTAAATCTTCAGAACTTTCTTTCTGATGTTTCCTGATATAACCACACATCTGCACCATCTCTACACACCTTTTCTTTCCACTGAAAATCAGCACTTCAAAATGGTATATACCTTCGGCCTTACTTCAACACTCAAGAACAACAGTGCTTTGCAGAACAAGTTGCCAATCTCCCAAATTGCTGGAGTCAGTGGAAAAACCCAGGGGATTTTCAGATGAGTTTAGGGCTGGGAGTGTACAGGGAGCAGGCAGAGAAAGTGGCTACCTTCCTGCCACTTCTGAGAAGAGCAAAGATTCCAGTCACCCCTTCCTCTCCCTCCTGCCTCTGCTCTCCTCTCCTCATCAGTGAGGTGGGCACACTGAGGGAGGAAGGACAAGTCATTCTGGTATGTTCTTCGTTTCCACTGTACCTCAAATGCTGGGACAGGAGCCATGAAGATGCCTTACCCATTCTTGTCTTGAACTCTCCACCAGTGGATCTCAGAACTGTCCAGTAGGTAGTACTCTTCATTGCGCTGCAGGGCAAGTTCCTGGGGATCGTTGGTTTGGTAGTCATACAGGGCAATAACCAGGGTTTCTTCAGGTTCCTGCAGGGATCGCTGGGGAAGAGGTGCCAAGACCAAGCAGAGTCATAAGAAGGAGGTAAAGGTCATAGCAAAGACAGCAAATCCCTGCATTGTAACTTGCTTCTGGATCTATGCCAGCTCAGCCCACCAGCTCCCACCAACCCCTAAGGTATCTGTGAAGATGATCTGTTTTTCTCTAGTTAGCTTTCTTTATATGTTAGAATTATGATGCTGAATAGAACTCAAAGGATATCAGTGCTCAATTTTTTCATTCTACCAAATAAATCCTGACTACAGTGAATGCCAAGCAGTCACATGCTTTCCACAAGTCTGCTGATTTCTCTGCCTGCACCCTGCCATAGTCTGCAGCCTCTCCACCAGAGCATCATGCTCCTGTGAAGGAAACGTAGGTGACACTAAGCCATTCATGCTTTGCAGATTTGATTTATGGGTTCACCCCTAATCCATTGAATCATGTTGGAGATGGGATTCCTCTGAGAGAGATCATTTAATCCATTCTTTCATTCAGGATGGGGATACAGGCCCAGATGGGGAAATGAACACAGCCAGTTTAGGTAGAAGTAGTCTTAAAATGCTATTAACACATAGGCTCTTTCTTTCACTTGAGACTGGCCTATGTCTCTGACCTGCAGTACCATTCTTAGGATGAAATATTAAAATGAAGAAAAGACTAATGCAAACAATCACCAGAGTTCAGGATGGGCATAGGTTTGGGTATGAGGAAACACTGGAATGATATAGTTACTGGCTAGAATGTGACTTAGTGTCAGGAAGTCACAAGTCCTCTGAGTACATTAAAGTATTTGGTAGTATAAAAACATTGGAGTTAAAAAAGAAAAAAAAAGGCTTGTCTTACTGATGTAGGCATGTCATCCTAGTGCAGCCCAGACGAAGATCTGAAATCCAGGTATTTGTKGAGTTTGTGAGGTGGTGGTTTACTGGATACTACAGATAAGAGTTGATGGACATGAGGCTTTTACTGAGGAACTAATGGGCAAGAAATTGTGCTCAAGGGCCTCTGTGGAAATATAGGAGGGATATGGTATGGCATTTGTCTCCTGATAAGTCCATCTCACTGGTTAATTCTTATGAAGAGAAAGGTCAGAGCAGATTTCTCAAATAATGGAGGTATCCTTCTAAAAGGGTAGCACAGGACATCTGGGTGGAGTATAGGAATGTTACAAAATTTGAGGTATGCTATACTATAAAATGCTCTTCAGTGCCCTAAAGCCTGTACAACTTTTGAATGTCTTTTTAAATATTCTTCTGGTGAGAAACCTGCTTATAATTATGATATGTAAGAAGGCCCTAGGCCTAGATCCTACTCATCTAAGACAGAATACTGAATTTCCCAGGAATGCTACTACCCAGTGCATGGAGGAGCGCTTACACTTTGCTTAACTGAGAATTTTACCAAGAATTTTTAACTATTTTGAAAAAATCACATCACAAGTATTAACATTATATTTGGGTCATCAGTAAAACATTCCTGCATCAATTGGATTCCAGCTGTCAATTTCAGTGGGATTCTACCTACAGGCACAAGCAATTGGTTATTCCTCCTTCTTCAAGTACAGCCATGCCACAATATTGATATAGAGCAACGTGCTATATTTTTTTTTAGTACTACACTTACATCATTTATTGATTCTTTTAAATAGGTTGTGTTATTTATGACTGTCTTTTCAGGATAACAAAGGGATCTTTATAACATATTTGTCATAAAAAGGGAACAATGGGTTTGATAGGGTTAGGAATCACTAGATTAGAGTAAGAAGATCAAAGGAAGATATTTGTAGAAAATGATGGACTTTGTGCTCAAAAAAGCTGCTTGGAAGCTGAGAGGGTACAGTGAGGCTTGAAGTAGATGAGGGTCCCATGTCCTGGCTTCTCTGCTTTAAGCCTCATAACACCCCTGATCCCCAAGAGCTCTCCTGGACCCAGGTGGGCTGAGGGGCCCTCCTAGACAGCCTGGGTGGCAGTGGCAGGGGTAGAGTGCCTTGGTAGGGAGTGAGGGAGAAAGGACATAGGCAGACACAGTGCTGAGTGGCCTCTTAGGAGGCTCTTCTGGGTCGACTGGGAGGCATCTTAAGGATGAGCTGAGCTCCTGTAAATAAGGGGGCCAAGAGGAATTGGAATTTGGACTTCTGTGGACACCATGACCTTGTTTGCTCCCTAGAGAGGTCTGGGACTGTCTGACCATGGAGATTCTCCATTTTGACCCCAAACAGCCATCCTCTCTCTCTGAAGGATCTCTCCACAGCCTTTTCTCTTACAGCATGAGGCCTAAAACAGCTTAAAAACATTGTTCTCCTCAGATAAGAGAGCAAGTAGGTAAAAAGAGAAAATGACTTCAAGCAGCTCAGAGTAAGAGAAATGTTGAAACCGCTTTAGAGGTGTGATTGAAATTAGAGCAATGTTTCAGAAACCCTGTGGTCACAATGTTCAAAACAGTATGGATGCTGCTCCTTCAGGTCTGAAAAGCCAAATGGCAGAGTCCGAGGGGCGATGAACTTCACTTTCATGGACACTGAGAATAAGGCAGGGGCAGACTGACTTAGGTCGAGTGGAATGGGTTTGGGTGGGATTGCCAGGGGAACCATCTGCAAGCGAGAGCAGAGGGATTCCAAACCACATCTGCAAGGAGAATGTTAAAGCAGTCTTCAGAGGGCCAGTGGAACTAAAGTAAGGAGCTCATTTTCTGCTACAGTAGCACAGCTCTTCCCTGTTGTGAGGGAGTAGGCTGATGACAGATCTAAAAACCAGCCTGAAGTTTTCAGGATTTAGATCTTCCTTCATGGGGAAGCTGCCAGTTTTTGAAATGTCACCACGTTGGCTGTTGGGGGTGGGGGGAAGCAGAGCTCAGTCTTCAAGAAGAAGCATGAAGAGTCAGAATTGGTAGATTCTGGAATAGAGGAAAAGTGCTTAAATGTAGGTATTGGGAATTATATGACCAGAAAATGAAGGCCAATTCTTTCCTGTTTTTTGTTTTTGTTTTTTTCCAGTCTTCTTAACAATCTTCCTCAGAGTTGGTGCTGTACCATGGAGTCATATAAATCAGTACATTACAGATTCTCAAACGTGAAGTGAATGTACCTTAGAATCACCTGGAGGCTTATTCAAAGGCACACTATAGGCCCCTACCCTAGATGTGTAGATGCAGCAGGTTTGGGGTGTTGCCTGAGAAGCTGCCTTCCTGTCAGGTTCCCGAGCAATGCTGATACTGCTGGTCTACCGACCAACCACTGAGAACCACCACTCAGGCTAAAGACCAGCACACCAGAAACTGCATCCTGCTAAGTGTGCTTCGGAAAGCCTCTAAGACATCTCTTAGGACTTGATTACCCAAGCTCTAAAATGAGAATAAAACTATAACCCTCTGAGGTGGGTAGAAGAGATACTTAGTTTTAACACAAATAATGAAAAATAAGGATATGCTTCATGACAGAGTGTTATCAAATTTATATCTCTAGAGTGCTGGTATGTCAAAGCACAGAGTAAATACACAGTTTAATATCTGTGATTATAAAGTGAAAATGGGGAGGTGGGGCTTCAGCAGCCGAGTGGCCCTTGAAGTGGACAGACTCACGAAAGAGCACAAAAAACACGCTGAGTCATGCTGAATGGCCAGGTCTGCGGTATCTATCCAGGGTTTGAGAAGCATGGGCAGGTGCCCTTGGGCCTGCAGCTCTGTCAGCCCACCTGTGCCTGGAGCTGGCTACTCACTCACCCTGTTATCTTCAGGAGTAGGAGGAAGAGGCTTCTTTGAAGCTGAAACAAGAAAAACAGAAAAAGAAGGTGAGCATGAAACTCACTAGGCCCAACCGGAGGTTGGGGGCCTTTCAGAGAAAAAGGGTGGAAGGAAAACAACAGAGGGAAAGGGGCCAGAAGGAGATGACGAGACACACAGAAACTAGAGTTGGCCTTGGAAGAGCCTGTTTATCTCTTTCACCGCTAGTTTCCAATTACCTTTTCTAGAAAACACTAGAGACTTCTAGAAATTAATATTCTGAACTTTCTGTATTCCCAGGAAAAACTTGATTGGGGTGGGGGTGAGTCTTGAGCCGTTTTCTGCAGGTTCAGAGACTTCCACAAATGTATGTGCCACCTGCTAAGGCCAGGAGTGGGAATTGGTGACTCAGGGGACAGTGACTCACTGGTTTCCTGGTGTGTTGTGGGCCTGAGGAGGGGGTGGATGAGGTGGGAGGTCATTGCGCTCCTCTTTGAGTGGGATGAAATCTGTTTTTAATTGGCATTGAAAGGCCTCTGAACTTGTTGCTTTCCCTAAACTACAGCCCATCTCTCTCCACCTCACTGTCTGCCTCTCTCTACTTCTCTTTATGTCTCCATATCTCCCTCTCTTTACTCTCTTTCCTCCTTCCTCCATTCTCTTCTCTCTATCCTTTTCCTTCTCTTCATCCTTTCTTCTCTCCATCTCCATCTCTCACTTTTCTGCTTTCTGGCACTGCAAAGGTCAGGGCTGGCATGAATGGGTCACAGTTGTGTGTCTGTGTGGAGAAGCACATGTGAGGTAGGGAGGGATGGCACAGGCTTCAGCCCAGTGCTTTCATCATTAGAGATTAGAAGGGAAGGGTTTATATAGGCAGGCAGTGAGGCCTCATCTCAACATGAAGTGGACTTGCCCTTGGACAGCCCACGTCAAGGGATGTGGGAGAGGAGATGAGCTCATTGAGGCTGCAGCCCAGCCCTGTGCCAACTCCTTAAGCAAGGGCAGGCTGGGGTACAAACTTGGGCTTACAATTAACAGACAAGGATAACACACACACTAAGAAGAATGGCTCCTACTGCACTCAACTTGAGCCAGAGTCTGGAGGTCTAACCTCAGCTCTGTCAATATAAGCTGTATAGCCTTGAGCCCCTTCCAGCACCAGACATTCTGTGACTGGCCTTTTTCTTTTTCTGTGGCCTTGTTCTTTCCTTCCTTCCTCTCCCTGTGTGTGACCATGGTATGAAATGTGATTAGGGCTGGCTCTTATTACAGAAACCAGTGATGCTGTGGGTTGGTGTGACAGGATCTATTTCTACTCAGCCATTTCTGCTGCTTTGCAGATACTCACATTGTCCTATTTCAGCCTCAGATTCTTTCCTCCACAAATAAGAAAAACTATTAGACACAGTTAGCATTTATTGAGAACTTTCTAAATGCCAGGAGCTATGCTAAGAGCTTTTCACAACCCCAAAAACCTCCCAGCAACCACACAAAGTATAGGAACCCTGTCTACATATGGTGGGTGAGGTTATTTAACTGAGGGTTGAGGAGATTCTCAGAGGCAGAGATGGCAGTGGGATTGCAGCAGGACAAACCATTAGCAGGTAGCTGCATAGCACACCCATGGAAATGGCTGAGAGTTGCTAGGTCTAGGTTAATGTCGGTAGGAGCTTGACATGACCAGCACTAGTTATGGTGAGTCAGTCAGTCTGATGCACCTAGCACCTCAGTCAGTTGTCTAAGATTCAGCAGAGGGAATATCTGTGCATACTGCAAAGGAATAGTTACAAAATGCACATTGAAAACTGCAAAATAGAAACAACCATTCAAGGAATTTCAGAGTTGGAAGGGGCCATGAGTATTATTTGGTCTTCCGCCCCTAAGACCTCTCCTACCATTTTAGAGACAAGGGCATTGATGGTCAAGTGACTCTTCTGAGGGACCACACCATGGTGCCAGCAGGAATTTGGAGACCAGATTTCTAGTTCAGGGAAGGGCTTCCACTCACTGAGGCAAGGCTGCCCCATGCTGCTTTTGCAGTAGCTTCTGCCAGCACTAAAGGTTCTGTTTTTTTTTTTTTTTTTTTCTCATCACATGCTGCCCTCCCAAGTAGAACCAACAGGGCCAATGTGCAGGATCACTGACTTCTGAAGCTCAGTAAATATTCTCTGGGGCCAATGGACTGGTGACCTTGAAAGACTTTCTTTCCCGAGGGGGAAGGTGAGAGGTGGTGGTTTCTTGAGTGGTGCTGAGACAGGCTGTGACTCAGGAAGCCACGGAAAACCCAGCCACATGTTACATCCGCCTGCTGTCAGTCTCAAGTATTAAGTTAGTGAAAGAGAGAGAGAAACGAAGGGAGGGAGAGAGAGAAAGAGAAGAAGGAGGGAAAAGGGAGCCATGGTAGGAGAGTTTAGACAAGAGGAAAGTGGAAGCACCAGCTTGCTTGGGCCATCCCTCTTATTCAACAATGGATTTGCAGAGCCCTTCCCAGCATGAATACTCAAGGTCATCCATTTCTTTACCATCACACATCTACCCTACAAGGCTGTGGGGAGCAAGAGCGGAACATGCCATGCAAGTCTATTAGAGTGAAGCTGCACTTTATTAGAGGTTAAGGTACTAAAGTTATAATATAAGATATAATCAAGTTGCTGTCCAGTTCCCAGGACTTGAGCCTTTGATGTCAAAGATCAAGAAACCACTTTTGTTTTCACTTTGCTTTTAGACCATAGCCTCCTTTCCTCTGAGATTGTGTAAGTAAAGAGCAAGTTTGATGGGTAATAAAATAAAGGTATTTTCCTCCCCTCTCCCCCAAGGGTATAGAGTTGAATTTGTGTAATTAGACACATATGCGATGTGATGCCACTTTAATAAATAATTAAGAAATACAAATAAAACATAAATAAGTATAGAAATAATGAATAAGTATTATGTACTTCTTAATGCTGTCAATATAACTTAAGATTTAAGTAGACTACACCATCAAATTTCCTACCACTAGGTTATATCTCAAACTTTACTGTGCACATAAATCTAGAGATTTTTGTTAAAATGCACATTCTGATCCAGAAGATCTGGGATGGGACCAAAGAATTTGCATTTCTAACTAGCTCCCAGGTGGTGTTGATGCTGTTGGTGTGAAAACCATGCTTCGAGTAGCTAGGAGGTATATAGACACCGACCTTGAGATGAATGAACATGAGCAGAGTAGAGGTAAAGAAAGATGATTCCCCTCTGAAAATTCTGAAAAAGTAGAAATTCACATCTAATCCTTGACAGCCCAGTCCTTTCAAACACACACACACACACACACACACACACACACACACACACACACACACACACAAATGGAATTCTCAATCTTACCATTCTTAGTTGGATCATACTGGGCACAGCCTACTGCAAGCTTCTCCAGCTGAGAACAGCACCTCCACCTCCCATCCATCCAGAAATTAGGATGATACTTGGACACCAAACTATTATTATTCCTCGTTTCTGAAAGGGATTGACAACCACAGAAGAGTTATTTCCAGGGCATTCTTTCAAGGATCATCAGTGTCATAACCTTCCTGTTGTGTGATCTGAGCAAATATTATCCACAACAGTCAGATGGCAAATAAATTCACTGCGCTATCTACTGGGGGAACACGTGTTAGATATGGCTTCAGCAGATCTGTGTTCTTCTTTAGTTCTGCCTCCAACCTGCTGTGTGTTCCCAGGTTGGGCAAACCCTCATCTGAGCCTCAGTTTCCTCCACTGTGCAATGAGGTTATTAAACTGAATCAGTGAACTTCACAAAGAGGATTTAGGGGCAATGGGAAGTCTGAGAGGGTAGGATTCCCACCTGTTGGTCTTCTCACTTCAACCACAACAGTTTTGCTTTTAACCCTTCTATATATGAATTTGAAATAAAATTCTGGTAGGAAAAAAAGGGACTCTGCTATTGGAAAGAAAAGAAAAGAAAAGTATAAGACCCACAGAACTAGCCAGTTGATCACTAATGCTCCTTCCAGCTTCAACATCCTATGTGTAAAACCCCTACACAGAGGGAGGGTGCCAGTGGTTATGCTTGGACCCTTTTGATTACTTTTTAGTGTTTGTTCTATCTGTCCCATGATGTTTTTAATAAGGGCACTTTCCGGCTTACCCTGAACTTGCCTGTTCATATCCCATTTGAGACTCAAAACAACAACCTTGGAAGTAGATAGCACTTGTAAGTTTATTCTCAATTTTCAGATAGAGGAATCATGGCTCCAGAGATATAAAGATGCTTGCTTCTCCTTAGTCTTTGCAGCTACTTAGAGACAGATTAATATTTGAACCCTGATCTCCTGACAAATTGGGTGCTTCAGGCTAAAAGACCATAATAGTCACACAAATCCAGTGCTTTTTTTTTGGGGGGGGGGAGGTGAGTCTTGTTCTAAGTGCCTTACAGGCCCTAACTCATTTAATTGTCCCAACAACCTCATGACTGTTATTAGTCAAAATTTATAGCTGAGGAAATAGAGACACACAAAGGTCAAGGAACTTGGGCAAGGTCACACACTAATAATTGGCTAAGCTGGAATATTTACCTTAGTGACCTGGCTCTGTATGCCATAGAATTAAGACACTGTGCTGCTCAATTATGTCATCAGAAAGGTAAGGCTTAAGAAATGCACTTTTTGATGGCCTGAATGGCTTAAAAGTTAGCTAGTGTTTATTGGGTGCTGACTATAACCAGGATAGTTTCAAGAGGTTTTCTCACATCAGGTTTTAGAGGCAAATTCTGTTATTTACTCCTCCTCTTCTTGTTTAATAGATGGGGAAACCAAAACTCAGAGCAGCTAAGAACTTGTCCAAGATAGAAGAGTAAATGGAAGAGCCACACGTTTAACTTAAACAAGCCATCCAACCCCAGGCCATACTCTTACCTCTCACTTGTAGCAGGGGTTAAAAACTTTTTTCTTAAAAAAACAGAGTAAATATTTTATTTTTTTTGCTGAACAAGAGGAAAAACTTGTGCATGTGGGGGTGGGGTGGGGTGGGTCTTATTTAACACTTTAAAATAGGCTGTTTAAAAATGTAAAAATCTTGGTCTTAGGATAAATACTTAGGACCTTATTAACACCAAAAGGGAGAAATGTTTGGGGTCAGTTGCTCTCAAACCACATTCTACTCTATTGTAGAACCCTAGCCTACCATAAGATGAAAGGTCTCATTGACTCAATGGCACAGGAGTCTGATTACCTTCTTTAAGGGCCAGCACCCAGCGCTGCCGGCTCTCACGGTCTGGAGCAAACACATACAGTAGGTAGTTGTCATGCACAACCTGGGGACACACACAAAATCCAATGTGAGAAGGGTGCCCAAAGATGGGTGACTGACAGCAGACACATCTGGCTTACTGGCTGAAGGAGGGGTCTCCAGTGTTTGTCATTGTTCATATAAGTAAATCTGGGTAATCAGGGAACTGGTCTCTAAGATGTTTTTATCCAGATGTTTAGGGGCTGTGCAATCAGAGGGTAAACATCCACATTTTAGGCTGCTTGTCTGAGATTCCATGCCACACAATCTACTGCTAAATTAAAATAGGAGAAATTTCTCCTCTTGACTAGATAGCATGTTTATTTCTCCGTGATTAAAAAAAAAATCCTTCCAGCATATGTAAGAATAAGTTATTAGATGACAAATGTGTAACCAGAACTTTTAAAAATTCTTATTTTAAATAGTTACAGGCTCACAAGAACTTCCAAAAATAGTACAGAGTTCCTGTATGCTTTTCACCTACCTTTCCCCACTGATAACATCTTACATAACTGTAGCATACTTTCAAAGCAGGAAATTGACATTAGTACAATACTATTAGCTAAACGAGAGATCATTGAATTTCATCAATTTTTTCATATACTCATTTGTCACTGGGATTTTTAACACCTGGGAAATTCATGTCAATCCTTTTACTTTTGCTCTTGAAAATTCCAATTCATAGGGGCCAATTTTCTAGTATAAAAAAAAAAGATTATTTTCTATGACACATTTAGTATGGAATATTCACCTCTCATGTTGGCAAGCAAGTATGGGATATGCAAGGAGATATCCACATGTTTAGAGCCATAAATGCCAAGAGTGATAAGTCAGACATACTATAGGTACCTTCCTCCAGCTCGGTTCAATAGAACTTTCTGCAGTGAAAAATAGTCTATAATCATCTGTGTCCAACACAGTATGTACTAGCCACATGTGGCTATTGAACATGTGCAATATGGCCAATGTGACTATGGAGCTGAATTTTTAATATCATTTTATTAATTTAACCATCCACATAAGGCTAGTTGCTACTGTGTTGAACAGCTCAACCATATTCAGATAGCTCTTTAATTGCAAAATTGGAATCTTTTTCCCTTAAAAACCTTGAGCAATTTATAATCAAGGATCACAATCTGTTGCTCCACATCATGAGTAAATGGCACGGGAACATTAGGTGGGGCTCTTGAGAACAGATTACCCTTCCTCCAGGTGCAGAGTAACTAGAACTTTCCTTGAGATATGGAAGACATGAGAGAAAAGAGAATGAAGAAGAACAACCTTTTTTTTGTGCTTAGCCATTGCTGAATGAATGTTACAGCAGCTTTCTCACGGCTTGATCTAAGTTCTAGGGCTGAAGAGTTATTTTCTCTTCACTTTCTCTCAGAATGACTAAGGATTTTAACCATGGTCAGGGAACAAGAAATTATCTGCCCTAGGCCTGATAGACTTACCTGAAATGGGTACTTATAGTGGCATGGGATGCTAATGTCACTTTTCACAATCTCAACACATTTGATTCGGGAGAGTTCAATGGAGCCCTTCAATGTACGCTTTTTCTGTGAGAGAAAAAAAAGCAGATACCATTTAAGTAGGAGATAAGACAATATTTTTAACTGGAATGCTTCTAGAAAGCCACTGCTAGATGAGTTTCATTACCTTTGTAAATTAACCCCAATGTTCTCAACCACAAAACCTAAAGCTGCCTCCTGGCCTTCAGTCTGATTAAATACAGTCTGAGAAAAGCACCAAGCAGACTTGTCGGAGAATGTGCCTTCTGAATGGTCTTCTTGACAGAGTCACTATATAGTCTCATATACCTTCCCTGTCCTGGTGACAAATGGAAGTATTTGCAGAACTCGTAGCTGGGAAGTGCAGATCATTTTCCTATGGAAATGAACTAAAGAGTTGCCAATATTCTCTGCTGTGTGCCCATCCAATGACATTTTTCACAGAGTAATTGAGCTCAGGCCTGACCTGGGTGGTAATGGATGCTATGAGTGAAATCTTTCTTTCCTGAGTCTGGCTTCTCCATGTCCCTTAGTTATTCACATTACCACAATGGAAACTCAGTGGGGTATGCCTTTCTGTTCTCTGTAACTATCCCTCCTGTCCCACTTTTCCCCCTTTCCATTAAATCTTACAGGCCCATGTCTCGTTCCCTTGGAAGCTTGCTAGATGTATTTCCCTGATAATTATGGTGTTTGTGATTTTTAATGATGTTACATGTTGCCCATTTGTAAGGGTCTTTATGCTTGGAAAACGGATCCCAGGGGATGGGATTCCTTACACAATGGGACAGATTCTATTGGTAGGCTGTCAAGCTTCAAGGAAGGCTAGTTAGGGAAAGGCTTTTGGATAGCAGAGGCTTTTCTCAGGTGCCTACAATTAGGCTGTCATTGAGTACAGAGTTTAATTCAGCTATGTCATTGCAAAACATATCAGTGTAGATTGTCCTTTCTAAAGAGGTAGCAAATGGTGATAAAATCAGTACTACATTGGAAAGGAGAGGTTTAAAATTGGGCTTTGCCTCTTATCAGCTCCGTGACAATTCATCTAACCTTCTAGAATCTTGGTTTCTATATCTTATGAGAATAACACCATCTACCTTTTAAGGAGTTGACTAGGGAATAAAAATATGATTATATACACAAATTGCCTGGTTTATAACAGGTGCCCTCAAAAAAGGGTACCTTCCCAAATACAGAGGCTAAGGAAATCCTAACGACTACAAGACAGTCATTATACACAGATGTACTTGGTTATCACTGAGATCCATGACATCATCAAATTCTCCAGAAGTGACTGCAGTCTTAACTTCCTGCCTTTTGATTCTCAGGCTAGAAGCACGTCTTTGCTTTAGTAGTTGAGGCACAGAACTGAGGTGAAAAAACTCAAGAGCTGAGAAATAGACCTCATCAAATACAGGGAAGCTTTGTGGTGTGTCTTTTAAAATTTTCTTATAAAAACTATTTTAGGCATTTTTGAAAACCAAAATCTATCCATGTTTAGACAAAAACAAAACAACAACAACAAAAACAACCCAACATGGAGATATTTGAAGAAAATATTTATAATGCCTTATTGTCTAGCCTTCTCTAACCCTGAGGTAGACCAGGGAAGCCATTTGGAATGTCGTTTTCTTTCTCCTGTACATTTATATATGTATGTGTGTGTGTGTGTGAGAGAGTGTGTGTGTGTGTACACACACACACACTCTCTCACACACACACACACATGAGTATCCACTCACATATTGGTTTAGAAGTTGCTTTTGTAATTTAACATTACAAGGTCTGTCTTACAAACCTCTGCAAAATGTACCCTTTGAACTCAAACTGACTTCTCATTTAGAGTCTTCCACAGCTAGAAATACATACCCTTGTTCTGCCCATAATCATAGTTCTTAGGAATGGCTGATCTGTTTTGCAAAAACAGAAGAGCACATAGGAGCTAGCTGCCTTTTCAACACCCATCTGCAACTCTTCTGAGCAAGGAGCCTGAGATTTGAGGTTGCCCTGTTTCTATCCATATGGGTTTATTTCCTTAGTATATCTCGTAAAATGAATTTTTTTTTACTATGCCATTTAAAAAATTTTTTTTTTATTATTGATTGTTCCAAACATTACAGAGCTCTTGATAAATCATCTTTCATACATTTGACTCTATTGGGTTTTGAACTCCCATTTCTACCCCAAATACAGATAGCAGAATCACATCTGTTACATACTCACATTTTTACATAATGGCATATTAGTGACTGTCTTGATCTGCTACCTTTCCTAACCGCTACTATCCCCCCTCCCCTCCCCGAAACAAAAGGCTCATGGCAGCATTGTGAGAACTCCGTTGGCTGACATTTTTGTGTTTGAAAAAGACTTAAGTTCAGAGCTTTTTGAAGGGCCAAGACCAGGACATCTGTGCCATCTCCCAGTGGCTAGCAAAGAGGCTGGCCCATGGCAGAGCTAACTAGGAAGAGAAGACCAACCAGGCCAGAACACAGTTTAAATCATCTTAATCAGATTTAGGGCATTTAACTATTCAGAAAATATTTATCAAGTGTCAGCTATGAGCAAGACGTTGTTCTGAGTTCAGGAGATGGGGCCCATAAACGTGGCAGACTCTCTCATGGGGCTCATATTATACATAGTCCATGACTTAAGATGGTTTGATTTAGGATTTTGTTTTTCTTTGACTTTACAATGGTGTGAAAGCATTCAGTAGAAAGTGTACTTCAAATATTGAATTTTAACCTTTTACTGGGCTAACAACATGTGGCACCATACTCTGTCTCTCCGTGCTGGGCAGTGGCAACAAGCCACAGCTACGGCCAGCCACATGGTCACTAGGGGAAGCAATCAGTGCGGTACTCTATAGTGCATTGTGTTGCTAAGCCAGGATGTTCAGTAGGTTAGGTGATTAAATGCAGTTTTGACATAAAATATTTTGAACTTATGATGGGCTTATCAGGATGTAATCCTATTGTAAGCTGGAAAGGCTGAGAGACAAACCAAGTGCTATAAAGAGAATGGACAGGTAGATTTTGTAGATCTCACTGACAGGTCATTAGAGCAGGACCTTGGAGACAAGGCATTCCTGGGAGTCATCTGTGAGCAGGTCTAGGGGAGTGAACAGTCTCAGTAGAGTGAGCAGCCAAGCAAAATCCCTGGGTACAAAAGTGTTAGGTAAGTATCTCTTCAAAATGGAGCATAAAGTAGAGGCAAATATTAAATGGAGTTAAGAGTAGGGATAAAACTTCTATGTGCAATTCTAAAGCAGCACTGTCCAACAGAAAAAAGGAATGCAAGCTAACCATGGAATTTGCAGTTTTCCAGGAGGCACATTCAAAACAGCAAGAGTAACAAGTAAAATTATTTTGACAATTATGTTATTTAGCCTGCTATGTCTAAGATATTATCATTTCAAACTGTGATCAACATAAAAATTGGTGAGATATATTCCTTCTTAGTACTATGTTTTTAAGTCTCTGTATTTATAGCACATCTCAGTTTGGACTTGCACGTGTAAAGTGCTCATTAGCCACACAATGTTGAAGGGAGGTTTTTTCATCTCAACTCAGATGATCCCTTTTGATTTCTTAATATTCACTGGTTCCAAACATGGATTTTAAGAGACTTAGTCCATCAGGTGACACCAGTTTTGGGTTTGCTCTTCTGTTGGAATGGATTTCATAGTTCACCATCAACATTCCTCTCATTCTCAAATGAGTGCCAGACTTTCCTCCTTCCAATGCATCCTGTCTGGCCAATGTCTCCAGAGGCCCCGAGGCCAGTTCTACTTGGATCTTAGAAGATCCAATCTGTGGTAAATGGCAGGACCAGTTTTTCACTCCTGTTAGTCCCTGGGGAGCAGCCAGTGAACAGGCTCCTCACAGTTCAGTCTCTGAGAAACCGTGATTGTCTATAATCATCCCCAACAACTCTATTATTTCTGAAAAATGCCAGGATAAAACCTTCCAAGGAAACCACACAGAAGCTGCCAGAGAAAGAGAGAGACCAAGTCAAATCTGCCCTCATTCTTACTTGTTATTCTGTCTGCACCACTTGGGGTAAAAGCCGCAGGGTTTAGCTTAGCCTTGTTTCTTTTCTTGGCCCAGCTCAAAGCTACACTGTCCTCACATTCGAATGCATTGCCTGTACATCTGCATGTGTCAAAACAATCCAAGATGCTGATGTGTACAAATCTGCATAAAAGGCAAGCTTGTGCAAGTAGCTTTTATATACTATTTCTTTATATGGTATTATTTTGTATAAAATAGAACTTGGATTGTGAATTTCAAAGAGAGAATCAGGAAAAACAATAACAGACAATAATGAGGGCTTTTTGAGCATTTATACTTCAGGCACTGAACAATCATTTAATCACGATCCAACAAAGTATTATTCTTTTTTTTTTTTGTGGTACTGGGGATTGAACTGTTAATCAGAGGTGCTATATCACTGAGCTATATTACCAGTCCTTATACTTTAAATTTGAGACAGGATCTCATATGTTACCCAGGCTGGCCTCAAACTTGTGATCTCCTGCCTCAGCCTTCCAACTACCTGGAATTGCAGGTATGCACCACCTTGCCAAGCCATTCCCCCACTTTATAGGTAAGAAAACTGAGATTGGGAGAGGTCAGCTCTCTTAGTGAAAGGGCAGCATACAAGCTCAATTTTATGACTCCAGAGCCAGGCCACATAACTACTGTGCTTCATGGCTTTGTGCTTGCTCCAATTTTCATAGAAAATATTCACTACCCAAATCCGATGTTAAGCAATCAACTGCATGACCTATTTATCCAAGCCATGGCCTGGTAGAGTTTTCTCTCTGCTTCTGCTGGGTTTCAAAGGTGGAATACATTCCCCAGTTCTCCCCATAACAACTGTTCTTGACTCCCTAACAGTGCTCCTTCTCTGCTTGGCTAGCAGGCAGATGCATGAGGACAAATTGCATGTCAGATTCCCCCCCTCCAAAGAGGGCATTTCTACTTTTCTGAAAAACAGCAGAACTTTAGCTTTCTGCTTTAGTGAGGCACAACGAATCCTGGAGCTTT